CCCCCCCCCAAAATCCTCCGACCCCCCTCCCCCACCCAGGTGATAAAGAATGACCGGTCCCTTAGGTAAAATCTAGGATTGTGGCCAAGATGGCAGCCGTTATTGGTGACGTCACAGGCCCCCAGAAGCGTCACCACTTATAAAATATACATCATCTTGTAGAGAAGATCAAAGGCTTTTCACTTAAGGCAAAATCGTTTCGAAGTACTGCAATATATCAAAAACTGTAGGGGGGGGGGTCCCATCCACCCCCTCCCTTGTACTAAGGTGGGGGTATGAATTTGCGTGCATGTCCGAGGGTTAACAAATATAGGTTATTAACCCTATGATTGATGTGTCTGGCTTATTTCAACGGCGACCCGATACAGAAAAAAAAAATTATAGTACCTTACTACAGTCTATACAAGGTGGCTAATAGCGCTATATAAATCGTTCAGACTCAAATTCAAGGAAATATAAGGGCAAATAGAAATCTAGAAATTAGAGTTTCGACAAAAGCAGTCACACACTCACTCGTTGACCAAATCGAACTCACATTCAAGTTGTGGCAGCAACTCAGTGAATTATTGCGCTGTAAAGTTGATTGATAGTATTGTAAACTAACGCCAGCATCAGATCTTTAAGCCAGTTTGCCGAAGAGTCCATCAACGAAGATGAGGATCCCCGCTTTCCGGATAAGGCAAGATGTACGATATGTGCCCGTTTCACCAAAACATTTTATTGAGGCCAAATTTTCCCAACTATTGTTTTAATTTTTTTTTTCATTAAAATGGTTGAAAGAATTGTCTAATGCTATCTTGTGGCTCTCCACTTATGTCCAAGATCGAATACTGTCGCAAAAATTTCGTAGCAAATTGTTTTGGCAATTTTGGCCAAAAAAAAAAAAAATTAAATGAACTGTCAGAAATGTATAGAAAAAATTGCAAATATAGCAAAAATAACAAATTCAACAAGGATAGCAAACTGTAGCAAAAGGAAGCTACTAAAGAAAGTTATTTCTCCAAAACTGATTAGTTTCAATTTGGATGAAAATGCTAGACCATTCGAGTTCTTCAAATTCATCCCTTTTGAAAGTGATACATAAAAAAAATCCTGCTAATAGCGAGATTAGTACGCACAAGTGGCGGTTCCAACACTAAAAAAGTCACTTTAACGTGCCTAGCTATCTCCTACTCCCTCCCCACTTCATGTACCCAGCGCTTTCAACGCAGGATTTGCTTACAGTACGTTTTTTGCGAATGCAGCAAAGAAAATGGCGCCTCTTTAAAAATTACCATCGTCTTAGTCATCTGTTCTATCTTTGTGGAGTGCAGGTAAGACAAAGTCTTCTGTGTTATATGCGAGATTGGTCTCAAGGCTAATAAGTCGCAGATCATTAACAATTTTGCGCGGTTTGTGGTCCATGAGTGATTATTGTTTCGTGTTTTGGATTGCGCGCGGACACGGCAAGCTTCGATGGGGTTCTGTGTAACAGCTGCAAAACTCCTCTATTAAAACACTGGATAACTGGGAGAAAATCTCTTCATGTAAGTTGTAACCGAGTACAAAACGTCCGACGCTTAAGATTTGAATAAAACGCTGTGAAAAAAAAACTAAATGCTAGTCTGTTTATATAGTCATAATTGCAGTTCTTGCAACAATCTCCTCGCAATAATACTATTTCACGTCAGTTATGGTTCAGGAACGCCCTGTTGCTCAGAGATTGCAACCTTAGTGCAGTGATTCTGCCAGTGATTACTTTTCGCTCAATTATGGAGAAGTAGGACAATTCTCGTACAACACCTTATAATTGTTGCCGTATGAATAATTAATTAATTAATTAGCTAATGGATAATGTTGCTCAGGGCTCTCAAAGTGAGCTTGGGCTACCTGTGCGATCATATAGAAACCTGCAGGCTTTACTGTGACAAATCGATGAAAAGAATTGCAGCAAGTTAGGAGAGAAGCCGAAAGGTTTACAAGGAGGAAAGGGCTGCGCCGTTCATTCACTTTAGGTTACCTGGGTCTTAGCCTACAACAACTTTGCACGCGCAGCATACTTTTTTGAACAGTTCTTTGGCGCAATGCATGGTTACGACGCGCCGTACAGCCTAATTTCACGTTTTATCGAGAACGCAAACAAAAGAAGACGAATTTCTCTCCCTCATTCTCTTTGCCCTTGGAAATTTTTCTGAGGTATTCGTGTTCAAGAGAGTTCGTCTACATTTAGCAGAGTTAGCGAATTGGAATAATCGCCCTGAAGTTTCAAAGAATGCAAAGTCACTTTTTAAGTGACGTTTTCGCCGCCGTCGCCTATGGGGTATCTTAAAATCCCTAATATCATTCTTCACAATACGTTGATTGGCATTTGCTGTGAACTTTGGAGTAAGGCAAGGCAGAGGTGAATCCTCCTATTACTCCGGTCCTAGTGACTGTTACCATAATCGAGAAACACAGTTCAACTTAGAGGTATACAATGGACCCTGTTTTCGAAATGACCAGCCTTGACTTTGTCTTGTGAAGGGAGTAACAGTGGTTATGCAATAAAGCCCAAAAAAAAACAGTACAACGACAACCAGACACCAAAACACGATGCAATAGATCGCAGATTAGATTTAACGTTATTTGGCGTTCGCAAATCTCAGTATTTGATTTCTCATACAAAGTCTCTTATTTTCAACGGTCACCTGTAACGCGGCGCTTACCGGCGCGTCCAGCGCAAACGTCACGCGTCACCCTTTCCTCGTAACGTGAGTTTGGGCCGCCTGTGACGAAACTGGAATTCATTGCTGACTTTATTTATTTGGGCAGCGTTATTAGCTCGGGAAGGGGGAGGGGGAGGGGTGCATTCCCATATTCGGCCTATACGGGTATGTGCTGCTCACCTGCACATGGTATCAAATGGCTTTCAGGGTCTTGAGTGTTAAACAGGGTATTCTTTTGTTCCAATAAATTTGCATAGACGCTGGCCACGTGAGTGAAAACACAGAATAGTCGTTATGAACAATTATAGTTTGTTTCCGGTCCAAGTTACAGAGTGCATCCCTATACAGATCAATATAATAACAAGTAAGCAGATTCATACCCCGCCCTTCTCTGCAGATCTTCTAAGTTAAGACATCTCTCCATTGTAGTTTATTTAACAAGTGCATGGCGTTCTCTAGGGAGAGGAACGACGACCGGAAGTACGTCTGCTGTAAGCAGGCTAGGCGTTCTTGGACTCAGTGTATAAAGCTATTTCGAAAATGGTTCACGGAAAAAATGTGCACGCGACAATCCCGAAAGATTATTTCGGGTATGTTCAATACACTGTTCCTCACACCGTAGCTGTCGAACCTACTTTTGTTGCTTTCCTTTACCACTCACAGACATATGTCTATGGCCTCTCCTGCCATTCTATCAAATTTATTTGAAAAACAGTGAACTCAAAACCACCCACAATACCTTTCGGGGTTGTCGTGTGCACTTTATCTGACAACCTTTCTCGAAATAGCTGTATTCATCGTGACAAGTGACACAAAACTGCATTAGTAATTTTATAAGGTATTATTTTACCTAGTTTTGCTTCCTGGTAAGTCCTAGTACCACTATTTATTTCTTACTTGATCTTTAAAACGGCTTAAAAGAATATTTATCCTCATGATTTTAAGTTTCAAGAAAACTGTTCTTGCTTGCTAACGCGAGTTGTACGTTGTGCTGCGTCATAGTTTTTTTTCTACCTTTGCTTAAGTTATAGAAATTCAGATATTGAAGTTAAGTGCGATTTTTCCTTTTTTTCTCTTTTTTCTTTCTTCAGTACAATGAAGCCTACTTAAGCGAAATGATAGAACAGGTAATAATTTACTTGTAACTTGTTTTTAGTCAGTGCTACAATAACGGAGACTACAAGTAGGTGTACCACTAAGATAGTACACATAATATGAGCTATAATTTCTCGCATAGATGTTTCTTGCCCAGTGACAGCATTTATTACCGTAGTGAAAACACACCCGCCTGCTGACCTGACCATCTGCTACTGTGGGGTGTCCACCATTCAACCAGCCTGTAGCATCAGTGTTACACCTTTGGACGGGTGGACATGAAGTTGGCATTCTTGTACCGGCGGACCCTTCAAAACGAAACCATCCAGAGTCGATACCTCTATCACAATAATTGCACCTTCCAGAAGTTATCTTCCTGTCAGAATTGTTCAAACTCCCGTAATTTTGACATTCTAACATAGAAAGTAGACAATTGTTAAAATGATCAAAACTTGAAGAAGCTGGAAAGCATTGGATAGCTTTGCGGTTAAAATGTTTTACAACGCTTGTCCCAAGCGGCGAGAAGCGAGGAGAAACGGCTGTTTTTGCAGGCTGACGCGAGATAGAAAGGCTGCTTTGACGCTTATTGCTTTCGCGTTCTCTCTCGTTCATTTTGCTGGCCACCAGAAATGGAGAGCTTAGAACCACATATTCCCCGCTAACTCGAACTAAGTCCCTTAAGTTTCACCCCACTTTGTAGTCATTTTTACTCGGTTGACTCGCGCCCCTCACGAACTGGGATAACACGTACTGCACTGCAAATGGATGAGTGATCTCTGCTACATACGATGAAGTAGGGAAATAGTAGGCGTGTTAAACAATAATTTTATGCACTTAAACTGGTTCAGTTCAACACATTGACGAATTTTTTTTTTTTTTTTTTTCTTTGTAAAAATTTCGTCACAACATTGTCAAAGTGTTGCCGTAGATTTACAAGCACGAGCCCCAGGTGAATGGATCTACTACTGCGAAACTTTGACAATGTTATGACTTTTATTATCAATAAGAGATAGACGGCTAATTAATATTACAGACAGAAAAAAGCTGGCGTCAATTTGCTTCTTACCATACCAAAAGCTCGGAAAAAAAGATCAGGAAAAACATATATTCTACTTTTCAAAACTTACAAGGGAACCCGGTTAATACGGGAAATCAAAGGGACATGCCATGGTGTCCGTATAATCCGGGTGTCCCATGGGCTCTCCGAAAAAACGTCAAAGACAAATGTTGTAGTTATATAAAGACTAAGGCAGACAAGGACGAAGAAGGGTAGAAACAATGACTGCGGCGAATTCGAAAAGCCAAGGAAGTGAAACTTGTCTAGCAGGAGGTGAAAAAAAAAAAATTAAATAAAAAAATGGCTATGTATAGTACAAGGGTCAAACACGGGAAGAACTGACTAGCTTAAAATCAAACATATCACGCTATTCTACTAGCTATTTAAACCCAAAGAAATCTGTCGTTGTTTGAACAGTGTACAATGTCTAGAATTAGTACGTGATTGTGACAAGGACAATAGACGGTAGCTACATCTTCCAAATGATGTAACCGTGTGCCGGTTATAAGGATTTAGCGACGGGACTGGCGACAATCAGAAATGATTAAATATTTTGAATATAATTGAGTAATGAAGAAACAAGATTTCACTTCGACACGTTGGTTCAGATCCGAACCCCCAAACATAAATGGGAGGCAAAGTTGAATGATCTCTTAATATTACTATCAATATGAACCTAGTATATGGCCTCGCTCTCCATGAGTTCTTCGTAGCTCAAGTGGATAGTGCGCCTCCCCGGTGTTTGAATTGGGAGGTCATAGGTT